GAGAGCTCTCGCAGCGCTGGCGGCGCAACTACACTCGCGCTTCACAGGGCTGCCGCCGCAGTGCTGTGAATTCTCAAGTGTAGCCAAGGCCTCAGTGTCACAGTAAACTTTGGAATAAAGCCCAGATTTGTCCAAATCTGTGACATAAACAAAACGTGAAAAACCTTAAGAGATCTGATAGCACTAAACAGAAGTTTGCAGCTTTTTCATACTTTGTCAGCCCCTCCTTTGGTTTTAACTACAATGCACATCTTAAAACAACATCATCATGTTGTCAGTATCTTGTAACATACAATATTGACTTTCTGTCCCACATCATGAAATTAGGTCCTTAAAATGAAGTATTTTTTGATATAGGTAACTAGCAGTTTTCAGCCCTCAACTACTAGAAGACAATTAAGTCACTCAAACTCCACACTGATAATTCTTTCATAGAGCCCTACTTTTAAAAATACAGCTCCTACTGCATATGGCCTTTTGGTATCCCAACCATTCTGGTGCTGGGTAATCAGTGATGGGAATATGGGTGTATGCGTGTATTGCTTAATTTAAAACTTCATTACAAAGATTTTATTTCATCAATATAATATGAAAACAACATATCTGGAGGAGTATATTAAAAAATAATCTTTAGAGCCACATTTCAACAAAATGAGTGCCTAACGTGTATTTATAAAAATGCAAACATATGCATACATTTCATACATATAATGAATAATTATGAATGCACTGGGAACCTGAAGCAGTGTGTATATTTGTCTATTTTTTACATGCAACTGTATTACTTCTGAGTGAATAAGTTAGATTCCATATTATTTAAATGTAGCCTTTGGCAATTGACTAGGCTTTTAATTAAGAAATTCTACTTGGCAAATATGGGCCTAAATTTTCAGAAGTGACTAGTGATTTTGGGTGTCTGAATTTCTGGATGCCCACCTTGAGACACCTTAAAGGGGCCTCATTTTTAGAGGAAGGATGCTCAGCACTTTCTGAAAATCAGGAGTCTCTAAGGTGTTAGGTACCCAAAATCACTACTCACTTTAGAAACTTAGGCCATGATTTTTATTTTCAAGATGTATTGTTTTCCTTCAGACACCAGGCAGCCATCCTGAATTTCATGCAGCAAAAAATGGTTTACGTTCAAATACATTAAAATATTCCTAATTCTACTTTGTTATAAAACAGGTGAGTAATTTACAATACATTATAAGATACACTAATTGGGCTTGTATTTGTCAAAGAATGAGAAGGATAAATAGGAATGAGAGTTTTAAAATTTGCCACTAGTTTTTCAACGCTAAACAATTAATAGTTTCTTCTCTATTTCATTGAGTGACATAATAAGAAATACAATGCTTCAAGTTGTAAATCGCTGATGCAGTTGCTCTTACCAGGTCTGTGGAAATGCTGAGGGGAGCGTGACATTGTGGGAGTGTAGCTGTGTCGACTATACACTGGAGAACTAATAGAGCCCTGACTGGTTGACCTGTGAATCATGCGATCCCGAACATCCTGATAACCCTGAAGAATAAGAAGCATTAGAAGAATTAATAATAATAATACAAATGCTTAAGTGCACTCCAGACAATTTTCCAACTATACTTGGCTTTCAATGGCCTCAAGATGTCAATGGAACCTGCTAACGGAATAACATCCTTTCATCTTAATGTCTGTTTCACTATCATACAGTAATGATATCTGTCATCAAAAGTTCTCTCATAGAATCCATCGCTGTAGAGACTAACAGCTAAGTTCTAGAGTCCTATAATTCCATCTGACCTGCAGGCTGAATTCTGGTAAGTAACACTTATGCCTCAATTTTCATAAGTGACTAGTGATTTGGGGTGTTTCATCCCGAGATTCCTTAAGAAGGTCTGGTTTTCAGAGCTCAGCCACCACCCTCTAAAAATCAGGCCCTTTTAAATGTTTCTTTAGTGGCCATCCAAAAACAGAGACACCCAAGATCACTGGTCACTTTTGTAAATCTTGGAATAAAAAAAAGCAAACAATCCCCCTGTAACACACCTTTCCTGTGGGAGAGGTGTAACTGGAAAACTCCAAGACCATAAGCATGTTCATAAAATTATTATGGAACTGGAAGCATGTAGAGGTAAGTGTACATTTTACTTAAAACAAAACAAGTGACAATGTATATATAGTGGTAGCAACTAAAATCTTGACAAATGCCTTAACCTGTGTTTAGTGTCACTATAATGTTCACAGTGCCCTCTAGAGGAATGCCACAGTAATGTTTTCTCACTAAGATTTTCATGGTGAGCAGTGTATAGTATTCAGATCCTGATTTGGCCCTGATCTATGCGCCACAACAAAGAAAAATTCATGAAAGTGACCTTTGCTGTATAGACTTTGATAAATGCTTTTGCTTTGCAGACATCAAATCCTGCAGTGGCTTCATTCTCCATAGCAATCGGACAGCTAGCACTAAATGTCCTCTCTTTTGATTTTCCTGTACTTTCAATAATCAAAAAAGCTGTGCTATGTAAATAGCAAATAGAACTGGGCTGCCTAGAACAATCAATAACTGCACTTCCTGGCAGCAATAATTCTAGCAATTGTGACATATTGCCCCAGAGGGCTCCATCAGACTTACTTCTGCAGACGGGGTGGGAGACAGTGTCCTTGGAGACTGCAAGACATGAAAGAGAGAATGTTACAGAAACAGGCTTGCTCCTGCTTTGCCAGAAAATGCTGATCTAAACACAGCTAGGTGTGTTTAGACCCCAACAGCACAGGAGCAACTGGGGCCATTTGAGCCCTGAAGTTGGGTTTTCTCCATGCTGCCCATGGCCTGGGCTCTGAAGCAGCTTAAGTTTCTGGCCACCAAAAAGCAAGTATGATTAATTCAATCAAATATCCTGCAATGTTGTCTTTGAACCATCTAACAGTGGTGGTAATTATAAGGTAGCTGTAAGAAAAAAAAAATCAAAAGGTGTTATTAATGTAATAACTATGGTTGTTGTGCACAAATCAAAAGTAAATTCATCTTAAACTTTGGGCTTTGCGTGGCACCAGAAATACAGGACAACCAGGGGTGTTGGAACTAAGGGTGCTGGGGGTGCAGAAGTGCCCCCGGCTTGAAGTGGTTTCCATCATATAGGTTTACAATTTTGTTCAATGGCTTTCAGCACACCCACTATAAAAATGATTCCTACGCCACTGAGGATAACTTCCCATTTTCTGTGTCAGGCACATTTCCCCCCCCCCCCAACCTTCTGGCCAAGGTCAACCTGTCCCCAAAGCCTTGTCAACAATATTTCCTTAATGTGCTTGCTCTTTAAATCAGCCACATGCTCTTCGATACTTATGCATGAAAGAGAACAGATTGGGATTACATATACGTGAAGGAAATGGACAGAAGAAATACTACTACATTGCTCTTTGTTAGCACCTTTCATCTCAACACCCCTGCAAGGCTGAGGATGTGCTATCAATCTTAGTATACAGATGGGGAAACTGAGGCACAAAGGGGGGTGTTTGTTTTGTTTAAGTGAGGCCCAAGGTTATACAGAAAGTTGGTGGTACAGCTGGGAATAAAAGCCACATCTGATTCCCAGTCACATGCCTTTCATCACAGGACAATCTCTCCTTCCCTAAAGATTAGAATTTAAAATGTTTCTCGTATGTACTAAACATTAGTATTATTTATTTAACTGCCATAGTAAACTCAGGCACAGCTGGTGCTTTTAAATTATACCACAGTTATTGCAAAACTATACAGCTCATAAGATTGTGTCTCAGCAATAAAACTGCTGGTTCTGGCCTATCTGTCATAACAACACACCATGGTAACGGTATGAAATGTATGCAGAATCGCTGGTAATAAATGTACTTGTTAGTCCCTCAGACCTACACACACACACACACACACACACACACACACACACACACACATCAGCTGACCAGTGAGACAATGCAGATATGAAGTGCAATACAGCTGTCTCCTACACACTCCCTGCTCTAATACTGTAAGCTCCAGAGGGGTTGGTGTCACTATGAATGCAAAGTATGTAGACACACGTGTGACTTGTTTTGGCTTGAGTGCATGACATTTCATTATGGGCAATTTATCACATGGCTTTATATGACCACTTGTCTGGCTTTCTACCACACTGAAGTCTTTAAACTATTCAGTCTCAAATATACCGAGAGGCATATGTAGAAGCAAAGAGTTCAGGGAAGTAAACTGGTGCAAATGGAAAGCGATGATTTCAAAACTAACCCGATTCAAAAAAGCAATTGGGATCAAACGTGTCTCCATTGAAGTCAATGGCAGAATTCCTATTGACTTCAATAATGCCAGGATTTCACCTACAGTTCCTTAAAAACAAATAAGGATACTCAGATGCTTAAAGTTACACAAGACCTTAAGTGTTTTGCTGGATCATCACACAACAGTTACACCACATTTACATGGGTCATTTTACTGGCAGGGTATTAGTAGTTTTAGCATTTCTGGAGTTAAGCCTATAGTCCTGATATCAGCAAAACTCTCATTGACTTCAGTGAGAATTTTCCCTGCTTTAGAATTGTTAGGTTGGTCTCTCTCTCTAGTAAAGCAGTAGACAGGTTCAAGAAAAAGCCATTGCAGATTGCAACAGCGGTGATATAAGCAGCAGTAGGTGATCAGGGTCCTTCAGTGCTATAGTCTCTTGAAATAAAGGGAATACTGATGAAAAGCAACTTCTCACAATAATTAATGCACCAAAAGTCAAGAGACCCAACTCCCACACCGATCAGGGCACTACGGTGGGAGAGAAATTGCAGACTTGTGGATTTTGTATAGCTTGAACATTTGGAATACTTATAAACATCTTCAAAGGTCAGCCCAGATGTATATTTATACCCAAACAACAAACCTTTCTAATGCCACTATATATTACAAAATGATTTCTTCCTACTTGGGTATCTATTATGTTAACAAGTTAATACCCACAGTACTTCACATCCTGAGCTTAGCTTCACTTCCCAACTAATTCCTGTAGCCACTGTAACTAAACTACTAGCTGGTTGGCCTCCACTAGATGGCGCTATGCGAAAACTTTTTTTATTACAGACTTTTAAAAGACACAGTATATGGATTTATCAGGGAATGAACTGAATAGATTAGAGGGAGAGACTATTATAGCCATTTAAAAATAATTAAAAGGAAGAAAGTCTAATGCTACCCTATACTGTGCCTGGAACCACAGATAAGAGGAAAACACGGGGCAGAGCAGCTGCCCAAGGGACAACTGAAGCAGCTTTTCATCTGCTTTGCTGCTGTAGAGCATTTTTGCTTGATAAATAGGTCCCAAAATTCAGAGTAGTCAGCACCCAGTCAGCTCCAGAGGCTGGTGCAGGGGGGAGGCAGAGTCAACGATTTGTACCCCCAGGGCTGGGCTGCTAGCAAACTTGTGCTTGGATCTTGTGCAAGAGAAAAAGTTCCATGTGCTCTGTCCTCCTTGCTGCACCTTCTCGGAGGTGACTCACAGCTTGGCCCTATTATTGTTGATGGGGTTTCTGTACAACTTAGGGGAGAAGAATTCAGTGTGATAAAGTTTCATTGCAAAGGAGCATGAGGGATGGATGGAAAATACCTCAGAGTTTCTCTCCACGCTTCTGTCTGGGTGCACAGGTCTATAATTGGAGCTGCGTGCATAGTGAGGGGAGAGCGGACCCCACAGAGCTTATAAGAGGTAATGGCACTGAACTCTCTTTGCTACATAAAAGAAACAGACGTGAATAAGACTATTATATTGTGAAACATTCATGGGTAAGTTCCCAATAGGGGACTTTGGTTGCAACACTCAGCACAAAACTCCTGTACTTTAAACCGGCACGGCTGGACTTTTACATAAGATGACCCCTCTTGTCTGAGGGGATTGTAGCAAATTTTATTTTGAATTTAATTGTATCAAATGGACATTGAAAAAAATACTGCCCTTCCCATGAATTGTGACAAAAGCCCAATGGAAGGTTAATGCAAGTCTATCATATTTCATTTTTATAATGTCAGGTTAAAAGTCACATGCAACAAACTACAGAGAGGGATGTAGCTAATCAGGAGTGTGCCCAGGGAACTGATTTATCCCCCATGTTATATATTAGGATGGACCGCTGCTTAACTGGACAGCACTTGTCTATGAACAACCCAAATATGTACATCCCAGTGCCAAAAAAAATAATACATTCTCCAGCAACCATGGCAACCACTCATTTCACAATGGCGCCACGCGTAGACCTTGTGTTGGCAAGGCCTTAGACAGTGGTAATGCAGCGTCTTTGAGGGCAAATGTGGCAGCCACTACTGGTTAGATTTTCAAGAGAGCTTTTCACTGAACACACTGTGCTCTTCTGGAAATATGGCCACTTCTTTACGTACCCAAATGGGAACTGAGAGCTTGAGAATATGGCCCTAAATAGGGCTTGATCCTGCACTCACTGATGCCAATGGCAAAATGCCCATTAACTTCAGGGATGCAAAATCAGACCCCCTACTCAGGAAAAGCTTACCTGTAGCATTGTACACAAAACCTGAGGAGTTATTTCTGAGAGGATGCAATGGCTTCTTGAAAGGCTATCACATGGACCTTTAACGTCAAGATGGAACATCATCAGGCAGCAAAAGAAGGGAACTCTTTAATACACTTTCATGAATTGGAGAAATTGCCATTGCATTCTTTTTTGGATTTTTAAGGCTGAGTTATAACGACTGTCACAATCCACCTCTCTTAGTTTCTCTTTTTGGTCTTGGCATACAATATGAATATGAATAGTAAGTAATATGGCATATGATGTAAAAGACAGGTTACCTTTTTCCGTAATAGGTATTCTTCGAGATGTGTTGCTCATCCATTCAACTTAGGTCTGTGTGCTCACCACATGCACCGGTGCTCGAAGTTTTCCCCTCAGCAGCGTCCGTAGGGGACCGGCTCTGGTGCCCCCTGGAGTGACACACATATGCCACGGCATAAAGGGCGCTGCCGGCCCCCTCCACCCTCACTTTCCTCTTGCTGGAAACTCCGACAGTGGGGAAGGAGGGCATGTCGTTGAATGGACATCTCGAAGAACACCAGTTATGGAAAAAGGTAACTGTCTCTTCTTTGAGTGATTGCTCATGTCCATTCAACTTAGGTGACTCCCAGCAGTACTCCTCGAAGGCGGGTAAGGAGTTCACGGACATGTAGATTGCAACACAGCTCTGCTGAACCCAGCGTCGTCCCTGGCTTGCTGAGTGATGGCGTAGTGGGCCGTGAATGTGTGCACCGAGGACCACGTCGCGGCTTTACAGATGTCCTGGATCAGAATGTTTGCCAGGAAGGCCGTCGAGGATGCCTGCGCTCTAGTCGAGTGGGCTCTGATGAGCGGCGGCGGCAGGGCCCCTACCAGCTCGTAACAAGCCCTTATGCAAAAAGGTGATCCAGTTAGAAATCCTCTGCGTGGACACAGGGAAGTCCTTCATTCTATCAGCTGTAGAGATGAAAAGCTATGGAAAGGCTTTGTCCGGTCTAGGTAGAAAGCTTGGGCCCTTCTTACAACCAAAGCATGGAGGCCCCTCTCTTTACTAGTCTCATGGGGCTTGGGGAGAAGACCAGAAGGAAGATGTCCTGGTTCATGTGGAAAGCAGACACCACCTGGGAAGGAAGG